GGACCGGGAGGGATGGAGTGGTACTGGTGGGTACTGGGAGGTGCTGGGGTGGGTTAAAGGGCAGGCACCATAAGGTACTGGGGAAACTGGGCTGAACTGGGGAGGAACTGGGAGCACTGGGGAGGAACTTGGAATGGGGATGGGGAGCAACTGGGAGCACTGGGGATGAAAGGGAGATGATGGGACCACCAAGGAAGGACTTGGGATGGGGTCAACTGGGAAGGAACTGGGTAAACTGGGAAGGAACTGGGAGAACTAGGAAGGAACTCAGAGCATTGGGGAGGGACTTGGGATGGCGATGGGTCAAGCAGGAGCAACTGGGAGCACTGGGGAGCAACTGGGAGCACTGGGGAGGAATGGGAGATGATGGGACCACCAGGGAAGGACTTGGTGGGGTCAACTGGGGAGGAACTGGGAGAACTGGGAAGGAACTGGGAGGAATGGAGGAGGGTTGGGAGATGGACTCAGGATGGAGATGGGTCAACTAGGGGGAACTGGGAGAACTGGAGAAGACTGGGCGATGATGGGCCCACCAAGGAAGGACTTGGGATGGGGTCAACTGGGGAGGGACTGGGAGCACTGGGAAGGAACTGGGAGAACTGGGAGAACTGGGAGGGTCTGAGGCCCCCCCTGCCCCGCCCAGCGCCGCCATGCCCAACGTGGAGATGGCCGAATTCGGGGAGGCGGCCCCATACCTCCGCAAATCGGAGAAGGAGAGGTTGGCCGCCCAGACCCGCCCCTTCGACCTGAAGAAGGACATCTTCGTCCCCGACGAGAAGGAGGAGTTCGTCAAGGCCACCATCGTCACCCGCGAGGGCGCCAAGATCACCGCCGAGACCGAGCACGGCAAGGTCGGGGCGGGGTCGGGTGGGGGGGGCGTGGCCTGGCCACCGCCACGACCCCGGGACCCTGAAACGGTGTTTCCATCACGCGTGGGACACCTAGAACCCATCCCACCTTCTCTAGAAGCCAGGAAATATCTAGATCCCATCCCACCTTCTCCAGCACCCAAGGGACACCCAGACTTTGTCTAGCACCCAAGGGACACCCAGACCCCAACCCACCTTCCCCAGCACCCAAGGGACACCCAGACCCCACAACCATCTTCTTGATCACTTGAGGGACACCCAGACCTTCCCCAGCACCCAAGGGACACCTAGAACCCAACCCACCTTCCCTAGTACCCCAGGGACACCTAGATGTTCTCTAGCACCCAAGGGACACCCAGACCCTGAACCATCTTCTCCAGCACCCAAGGGACACCTAGAGGTTCTCTAGCACCCAAGGGACACCCAGACCCTGAACCATCTTCTCCAGCACCCAAGGGACACCTAGAGGTTCTCTAGCACCCAAGGGACACCCAGATGTTCTCTAGCACCCAAGGGACAACTAGATCTTCCCCAGCACCCAAGGGGCACCCAGACCCTGAACCACCTTCCCCAGCACCCAAAGGACACCCAGACCTTCTCCAGCACCCAAGGGACACCCAGACCTTCTCCAGCACCCAAGGGACACCCAGACCCCAACTCCCAGCCCTACGGGTGGGGGGCAAGTCCTTGCCCTGCCCCCCCGCCACGCCCCATGACGTCCTTCCCCCCCCGAGCAGACGGTGACGGTGAAGGAGGACCAGATCATGCAGCAGAACCCCCCCAAGTTCGACAAGATCGAGGACATGGCCATGCTGACCTTCCTCCACGAGCCCGCCGTCCTCTACAACCTCAAGGAGCGCTACGCCGCCTGGATGATCTACGTGAGTTGGGACCCCGGGAGGTTCTCCAGACCCCGCCAGGACCTCACGCACCCCTTCTTCACCCCCCTTAGGCCACCCTGACCCAAGATGTCCCAACCCAAGACCCCAAGGGCCACCCAAAACCAACATGTCCCATCCCTGGACCCCTCAAGCCACCCAGAGCCAAGATGTCCCATCCCAAGACCCAAGATGTCCCAAACCTCGACCCCTCAAGCCACCCAGAGCCAGGATGTCCCATTCCTGGACCCAGGATGTCCCATCCCTGGACACCAAGGGCCACCCAGAGCCAAGATGTCCCAACCCAAGACCCCAAGGGCCACCCAAAACCAACATGTCCCATCCCTGGACCCAAGATGTCCCAACCCCGGACCCCTCAGAGCCAGGATGTCCCATCCCTGGACCCCAAGGGCCACCCAGAGCCAAGATGTCCCATCCCAAGACCCAAGATGTCCCAAACCTCGACCCCTCAAGCCACCCAGAGCCAGGATGTCCCATCCCAAGACCCCATGGGCCACCCAGACCCAAGATGTCCCAACCCTGGACCCCTCAAGCCACCCAGAGCCAAGATGTCCCAACCCAAGACCCAAGATGTCCCAACCCCGGGCCCCAAGGGCTACCCAGACCTGGGATGTCCCATCCCTGGACCCAAGATGTCCCAACCCAGGACCCCAAGGGCCACCCAGACCCAAGATGTCCCAACCCAAGACCCCAAGGGCCACCCAGACCTAAGATGTCCCAACTCTGGACCCAAGATGTCCCATCCCAAGACCCCATGGACCACCCAAACCCAAAATGTCCCATTCCTGGACCCAGGATGTCCCATCCCTGGACACCAAGGGCCACCAAGACCCAAGATGTCCCATCCCTGCACCCAAGATGTCCCATCCCAAGACCCCAAAAGCCACCCAAACCCAGGATGTCCCATCCCCAACCCCCTCGGGCCACCCAGACCCGGGACGTCCCCTCCTGGTGGGGTGGCACCCGGTGGCCCTGACCCACCCGCCCCTTCTCCAGACCTACTCGGGGCTCTTCTGCGTGACGGTCAACCCCTACAAGTGGTTGCCCGTCTACAACGCCGAGGTGGTGGCCGCCTACCGGGGCAAGAAACGGAGTGAAGCTCCGCCCCACATCTTCTCCATCTCCGACAACGCCTACCAGAACATGCTGACGGGTAGGGACCTCCCGCCGGGACCCCAAACTAGAAGACCCCACCCCAAAAAAGGGGTCCGCACCTAGACCTGCTCCTCCCCTGAGAGACTGGAGAACCTCAACCCCAAAAATCTCCCTCAACTTCGTCCCACCTGACTCCTCCTCCTCCTTTCTCCCGGCAGACCGAGAGAACCAGTCCATCCTCATCACGTAAGTTCCCGCCCCCCCAAGGCCCCACCCCATAGCGGTGGGGTGGGACGGAGAAGCCACCGTGATGTTCTCCAACATCTCCCCGTTGCCCCCCCCCCAGCGGAGAATCCGGGGCGGGGAAGACGGTGAACACCAAGAGGGTCATCCAATACTTCGCCAGCATCGCTGCCATCGGCGACCGCAAGAAGGACGCGGCCAATAGCAGCAAGGTGGGTCCTTGGGGGGCGGGGAGCTTCCCCCAACGGTGTCCATGCCCGGCCCCACCCCCATTGTCCGTGTGTCCCGCCCCCCCCATCACCAGGGCACCCTGGAGGACCAGATCATCCAGGCCAACCCCGCCCTGGAGGCCTTCGGCAACGCCAAGACCGTCCGCAACGACAACTCGTCCCGATTTGTGAGTGGGGCGGGGTCTACAGGGCGGGGTCGACGGGGCGGGGTCGACGGGGCGGGGCTCGCTGGCGGAAGGTGGCCGCCTCCATCTCGCGCCGTTGCTCTCCCAGGGCAAGTTCATCCGGATCCACTTCGGGGCCACCGGGAAGTTGGCGTCGGCCGACATCGAGACCTGTGAGTGGGTTGAGGAGGACGTCCAGTTGGCCGTCGTCCGTCCGTCCGTCCGTCTCCTCCTCCCAACCCCACCCACCTCCTCTCCATCCCCGCCCCAGACCTCCTGGAGAAGTCCCGCGTCATCTTCCAGCTGAAGGCTGAGAGGAACTACCACATCTTCTACCAGATCCTCTCCAACAAGAAGCCGGAGCTGCTGGGTGAGCCACGCTCCCGCCCTCCCTGTGGACCCCGCCCCCTTTCCCGCCCCGCCCCGGGAGGCTTCCTGCCCATCCCAACCCCGTCTTCTCCTGGCAGACATGATGCTGGTGACCAACAACCCCTACGACTACGCCTTCATCTCCCAAGGAGAGACCACCGTGCCGTCCATCGATGACGCCGAGGAGCTCCTGGCCACCGACGTGAGATGGGGGGCAACCGGGCGGCGGGCGGGGTGGTTGCCCGGAGAAGACCTCGCCCCACGGTTTCACCCCACAGAGCGCTTTCGACGTCCTGGGCTTCACCCAAGAGGAGAAGAACTCCATCTACAAGCTGACGGGCGCCATCATGCACTTCGGCAACATGAAGTTCAAGCAGAAGCAACGGGAGGAGCAGGCGGAGCCGGACGGCACCGAAGGTGGGGTCCAATCGGGGTCAAGGGGCGGGAATCGGGGGGAAGCCCGTGGTCCTCTGGGTTCACATCTTCTCCTCTGCGTCCTCAGAGGCTGACAAGTCGGCCTACCTGATGGGGCTGAACTCAGCCGATCTCCTCAAGGGGTTGTGCCACCCTCGGGTGAAGGTGGGCAACGAGTACGTCACCAAGGGGCAGAATGTCCAGCAGGTGAGGAGGACATCGCCAAATCTTCCTCCTTGTGGGGTGGCACGGTGTCATCCCGGGCAAGGAGGACACCAAGAACCACCTCTCACCGCTGGGACGTCCCTTTTCCAGGTGATTTACGCCGTCGGGGCGTTGGCCAAGGCCGTCTATGAGAAGATGTTCAACTGGATGGTGGTGAGGATCAACAACTCGCTGGAGACCAAGCAGCCGCGTCAGTACTTCATCGGCGTGCTGGACATCGCCGGCTTCGAGATCTTCGACGTGAGGCTTGGTTGACCTCATTGCGTTGACCCCATTGGGTGTTGAGTTGATCCCGTTGACCCCACTGGGCATTCGATTGACCCCGTTGGGTGTTGCATTCACCCTGTTGGGTGTTGAGTTGATCCCATTGACCCCGTTGGGCGTTCAGTTGACCCCATTGGGTGTTGTGGTGACCCCGTTGACCCCGTTGGGCATTTGGTTGACCCCACTGGGTGTTGTGTTCACCCCGTTGGGTGTTGAGTTGAGCCCGTTGACCCCGTTGGGTGTTGAGGTGACCCCATTGATCCCGTTGGGTGTTGCGTTGACCCCATTGGGTGTTCAGTTGACCCCATTGGGTGTTGCGGTGACCCCATTGATCCCATTGGGCAACACGTTGACCCTCTGGGCCATCCCCTCTCTCCAGTTCAACAGCTTCGAGCAGCTCTGCATCAACTTCACCAACGAGAAGCTGCAGCAGTTCTTCAACCACCACATGTTCGTGCTGGAGCAGGAGGAGTACAAGAAGGAGGGGATCGAGTGGGAGTTCATCGACTTCGGCATGGACCTCCAGGCCTGCATCGACCTCATCGAGAAGGTACCACCTCCCCCCGGGCCTCCTGGGGGCGGAGGGGGCTGCCGGAGAAGGATCCGTCCCATCGGAGCTCGCCAGGGAGCCCGATGGCGGCCAATTGGGTGGCGCTCGGCGTCCTCCGTGGCCGACGAGGTCGTCTCCTCCCCAGCCCATGGGGATCATGTCCATCCTGGAGGAGGAGTGCATGTTCCCCAAGGCCACGGACATGACCTTCAAGGCCAAACTGTTTGACAACCACCTGGGCAAGTCGGCCAACTTTGGGAAGCCGCGCAACATCAAAGGGAAGCCAGAGGCCCACTTCGCCCTCATCCACTACGCCGGCACGGTGGACTACAACATCATCGGGTGGTTGCAGAAGAACAAGGACCCCCTCAACGAGACGGTGGTGGGGCTCTACCAGAAGTCGGCCCTCAAGCTCTTGGCCAACCTCTTCGCCAACTACGCCGGGGCGGACGCACGTAAGGGGCATCCCCTTCCCGAGTGTCCAGGGTTCTTCCCCTCCCGTCCTTGACGTGTCCCATCTTTTCTTCTTCTCCAACAGCCATGGAGAAGGGGAAAGGAGCCAAGAAGAAAGGTTCCTCCTTCCAGACGGTCTCCGCCCTGCACCGGGTGAGGGTCCAGGGGTTAATGGTGGCCCCCAGGGTGTGCTGGGGGTGGCCAACACGTGGTAACCCTTGGTTGGGCTCTTTGTTCCCTCCATCATCTCCTTCTCCACCCACCAGGAGAACCTCAACAAGCTGATGACCAACCTGCGGTCCACCCACCCCCACTTCGTCCGCTGCATCATCCCCAACGAGACCAAGTCTCCCGGTGAGCCAATCCCCAAGGCTTGATCCAAGAGGGTGGGGCCAAACCCAGGGACCCTGGCCAATGGGGAGCAGCGCCGTGGGGCAAGCCTTGACCCACCGGTCATGATGACACCCCAACCCCCCACTAGGTGTGATGAACAACCCCCTGGTGATGCACCAGCTCCGCTGCAACGGGGTGCTGGAGGGCATCCGCATCTGCCGCAAGGGCTTCCCCAACCGCATCCTCTACGGGGACTTCCGCCAGCGGTAGTAGACGTGGACCGTGGGGCGCGGGGAGGGGGCGGACAACCCCGCCGGGGCTGATTCGGGGGCGTCCCACCCCCAGGTACCGCATCCTGAACCCGGCGGCCATCCCCGAGGGGCAGTTCATCGACAGCCGCAAGGGCGCCGAGAAGCTCCTGGGGTCCCTTGACATCGACCACAACCAGTACAAGTTCGGGCACACCAAGGTGAGGTCATGTGGTCTCCCCGAGGGCTTGGGGACATCACGGTCCCACAATCCCCATGTCCACCTGAGCTTCCTCCATCCA